ATATAATTTATGTTGCGTTGTTGGCTCCTTCATTTTCTGAGCCAACCCAAGAGGCAGAGAGGAAAGACGTCGATACATTTCAGTATTTATGTTCAGTTCTGGTGTCCTGCCTGGACACGCCCACACAGTTCTGACCAATCAGAGAACACTTGGCACGCACACCCTGCAGGAACAACGTGCTGCTGTGGAGGTTTGTGCAAAACGAGTTCTCAGAACGAACCCCGTCAGTGAGAACAGATTTCTTCATGTCTCAGAATAAACCTTATGAGAGGCTACGATGCATTAGCTCGTGGCTACATTTTAGCTGAAAATAAACACTTTCAGGTTTCAAACAGGTTCAAAACAGAGATTAGAAATTATATATAAAATGTTGCTTTAAGCTATGTTTTAGCTGCTTTGTTAGCAGGTAAAGCCTTTTAATAAAAGCTCAAATGCAGCCGAAGAAAAAAAGCATCTCTGGTTTAATTTAGCTGTTTTTTTTTTTTTTTTTTACCTTCGGCTCTGTTCAGTCTGTCACATCAGAACCTCTGAGGGTCCGGTCAGCAGCACAGTGTTGCTGGGTCACTGAAGAACKCCAAATAAATCCAAGTTGAGACAGAAACAGACTGAATCACTTCCTGTTTGAGTACTTCCTGCTTCCTGTTCAGCAGATTTAAAGAGAGGGTCGGAGGGAAATCATGTGAAACTCCACCAAACGAGTTGGTTCTGCGTCGTTCTGCCTCCTGCTGCTCTCCTTCTCACTAAGACTTTAATCAAAAGATCCCTCTGGCTCCTCCCCCTCACCTCCCAGACGCTCCTGTGATCGGGTCAGGAGGAGGTTCTTTCAGGTCAGATTATTAATCTAGAATTGTATAAATAATCTCCAAACTTCAGCATCATGTTTGAACATCAAACCAGGAAGAATAAAGACAAATTCATCAGATTTTTATTTAGAATAATCGATTTAATCTTATTTATCATTTACCACCTTCATCATCATCATCATCACCCTCTGCAGTAGTCACTGATGTGACATCATCATCATCATCATCATCATCATCATCACACAGAAACAATCACCTTCATCCTCATACATTCTCAGAGTTTTTAAACTTTGAATATTTTGTATTTTATAATATATTGTGTTTCATCCATGTCTTCTTTAAATAATTCACAGAAGAATAAAGTCGACAGAAGAACGATCTGTTTATTTACATGGTGACACAAACAACGCAGGATGAGGAGGAGAAATGAGAGGAAAACTGATTGAAGGAGGAGGAGGAGGAGGAGGAGGAGGAAGGGCAGCGAACAGGAGAGCCGTTTTCTTCGTCACGTCTTCAAACAGAACAGAACCCCAGCAGGGGTTCAGCTGCCGAGGGGGCGGAGCTCCAGCTGAAGCTCCGCCCCCTCGGCAGCAGATTATTGGAACTATTGCAGAAAATAACCTGAAACCTTCATCACCTGCCCTGAACCTGACGTCACTGAGGAAGAGGAGGAGTTTGATCTATTTTAATGATAAAAACCTATTCTGAATGTGTCACCTGCTCACTGCCGTTATGTCTGTTAGCAAAATATCACATCATTAGATGGAGTGAAACCTCAGATATTCATGACAAAATCCCACGTATTGCTTCTGAAATTTATTCACATTAAAAACAAACGGAGCCAATCGGAGGTGAAACAAAGAGGGGAGGGTTTAAATGCAGGTAAAAATAAATTATGACAACGTGAAGAAGCTTTTATCAAACTTGGCATTTCTTTTATACTTGGCAACAAGACGGAGTTTCTCTTTCTCCTCCTGGATTTCATTTCTTGGCACTTGGTCAGTTTTAGCTTGGAGGGGGCGGGGTCAAAGGTCGACGCACAGACAGATTACAGAAATGAAAACATGAGAGGATTAATAAAGACACAAAGGGCTCTGCTGTCGCTGCCTTCATCACAACCTCCATCATCTTCGCCTGGTCCTGATGTGTTTACATGCAGGCAGCCGCTCGGGCACCAACAGGAAGTGATTCAAACAGCTGCAGGTGCAGAGCCACGTTTAGCTTCACCTGCCTGACCGAGGGCAACAAGCAGCCGATCATCGGAGAGAGTCGCCCAAACATCGAACAGATTTCAATATATAAAACACCTGCTGAATATTATTTATGACCAAATATCAAACTGAGAACGTTGAGTCCAACTTCAGCGGCCGGGTCCTTCGGAGGACCCGGCCTACCCGGTCCAGGTGAGCTGTGTCCTCCGAAGGACCCGGCCTCCCGGTCCAGGTGAGCTGTGTCCTCCGAAGGACCCGGCCTCCCGGTCCAGGTGAGCCGGGTCCTCCGAAGGACCCGGCCTACCCGGTCCAGGTGAGCTGGGTCCTCCGAAGGACCCGGCCTACCGGTCCAGGTGAGCTGGGTCCTGGGTCGACTGTGAAACCAATAACAAGTGTCTGACTTTGTGTGTCTGCTCTTCTTTTCTTCCTGCCCTCAGCCAGGAGCACGTCCTGCTGCCTAACTGTGACGATGCTGAACACAAGCAAAAATAGATGTTTGTTTGTTTGTTTGTTTGTTTGTTTGTTTGTTTGTTTGGCTCCAGTGAAGGAGGGGGGCTACCTTTTTTATCTTAATCTTTACGATGAAGTTTGTCTATCAGACACAAAAATATGGCAATCAATAGTTGTTTCAGGTGGGCTCAGTCTGCAAGTGGATTTAACTCAGGGTTGGGATCCTCATGGACCGGGATCCTCATGGACCAGGATCTTCATGGAACAGGATCCTCATGGACCAGGATCCTCATGGACCAGGATCCTCATGGAACAGGATCCTCATGGTCCAGGATCCTCATGGACCAGGATCCTCATGGACCGGGATCCTCATGGACCAGGATCCTCATGGACCAGGACCCTCATGGACCAGGACTAGACACCCCTGATTTAAATGCTGTAATTCTCAGATTGTTCTTTTAAGGACATATTTTACTAAGTAGATCTGCTGCTGTGCATGTAAACACACTGAACGTCGTGTGTGTGTGTGTGTGTGTGTGTGTGTGTGTGTGTGTGTCCTTGTTTTTCCTACATTGTGGGGCCCAGTTTTAAGGAAAATGCAGCCTCTTGGGGACAAGGTGCTCCTTGTGGGGTCCAAAGCCTGGGCCCCACATCTTCGGAGGCTGATTTTGGGTGTGGGGGTTGGGTTTAGGACCAAGGTGTGAATTGAGTTTAGGTTAGTTTAGGATCAGGTAGATACCTGTGAGGTTAGTTTAGGGTTGGTGGTCAGAGTTAGGATATAAAAT